TTTGCGATGGGGACGAAGCTCGCCCCTAGCCTGGCTAATCTGTTCATGGCCAGATGGGAGGAGGACCTCATATATTCACGCGATTGGCCTTCTCTCATTTTTTATGTCATTATATTGACGACATTTTTCTATTATGGGAGGGTGATGCATTTTCTTTGAATAACTTTTTTATCACTCTCAACAACAACGATCTTAATATTAAGTTATCCTTTGAGTATGATTTTAAAGAAATCAACTTTCTCAATTTAGTTTTAATGAATAATGGCATGAGTATTGTAACAAAAACATACTTTAAGAGCACAGACAGGAATAGTTTTTTACCTACAGACAGCTGTCACCGTCCTGTGTGGTTAAATAACATACCAAAAGGACAGTTTCTTAGACTGAGGAGGAACTGTTCTAACCTGTTGGATTATCATGATCAAGCCATTACCCTCAGAGATAGTTTCATTGAAAAAGGTTAGAAAGGTGAAATTTTAAATCCAACTATTAAAAAAGTGGGTTCTTTGAACAGATCGGATTTATTAGCATCTGGAAAAATAAAGAGATTGGAACGCTTTTGCCCTTTTATAACGGACTTCTCCACCCAATACAAAGACGTGACAAGAATTATTAAAAAGAATTGGGTCATACTTAAAAATGATCCAGTGTTAAGAGAAGTATTACCTGAATGTCCTGAAATCACATTTAGGAGGGCCCCCCCACTGAGACTCACCCTGGCCCCTAATGTGATAGATCCTCCAAACAATATGTCCTCATCATTTAGTTTTAAGGAGTTCTACCCATGTAACAAGTGTGTTGCTTGCCAATATAATGGCCCCACAAAAATAAACTCAAGGGGTTTCAATCAAGTATCACGGGAAAAAGATACATTATCAACCCCCTTATCAAATGCAATAGCACACATACGGTTTATTTATTACAATGTCCCTATAAGTTACTGTATGTAGGGAGGACTACGAGGAGACTGAGAGACAGATTAGGGGAACACTATAATAACATCAAAAAAGGATACAAGGACCATTCGCTTTCTAAACATTTCCGTGACTGTCACCATAAGGATCCTACTCATTTGAAATTTACCACCATAGACCTCATTAAACCACAATGGAGAGGGGGGCATAAAAGAAGAGCAGTCTTGCAGCTTGAAACAAAATGGATAGTAGAATTGAAATCCTTGTCCCCCCACGGCCTCAATATAGATCTTGACATTAATTAATTTATCGATAACAGTTGATTTGTATTTTATTCTATTTCATACTATTTTATTCATTTTTTGATTCATATATTTTATACGTGTTTTTATATATTTAGATCCTGGTTGTTTTATTTATTACCCATACCTTGCATTGCCATAATTTTGAGATCTTACCTCCTGTTTTTATTATGAGTATTTTTTAACAGGTGTATTCTCAATATTTTAATCTACGTGACTGTGGCGCAACGCGTCGACGTATAGGGGTGACGTACTTCCGGTTCCGGGTTCGTTCGGACGCCATCTTTGGACACCTGTATACACCCATAGTACATGGGAACTGCTTTACCTTGCTGAAGGACATGTGAGTGTAATGTTCGATTCTACTGATGAAGTGTATTAAACGGTGTTGCACTATGGAGATGTGATTCTGTTTTTCATATGCGCCCTGTGCCTGTGTCCATTCTATGAGGGGAATTGGAGTGTAACTGACTGCCTGGAGGAGGATTTTGAGCGGTGAAGGCAGTGGAGGAGAATTATATCTGGCAGAGTCCGTTTTGTGAGGGGAGCTTTTGGAGTATTACTTACTGCCTGGAGGAGGATCATGGTCGTGTGGAGGCAGTGGAGGAGAATAAATCTGGCAATTATATATATAAAAAAAGCTCTGTGACCCGCAAGGGTCGAATGTGGAAGGTGAGGGGGCATTTTGGCTATCATTGAGGGGAGTCACGTCAAGATTTCACGAAGAGCACTATTGCAGCATGGAGTGATATTATTTGAACACTTTTTATGTTTTTTGCACAGTGTGGCATCACCATCTTATTTGTTTTTTATTTAAATTGGTCCGATTAATTGCATTTGAGTACCTTTTTTTGCACAGTTTAAGTAATATTAATCACTACACCACTAGGGATGTAATATACAGTGATGAGGATATTGCACTAGTTATTATTGTATTATTTGTATAAGAGGTATTATTTATCACCTTTTTCACCAGCGTATATTTATAAAGGGGTTATTGCACTAGTTTTTTGATTATTTTAGTTGAGCGCTTCACCACTAATATAATTTTGTTTCACATACCTTGCATTGCCATAATTTTGAGATCTTACCTCCTGTTTTTATTATGAGTATTTTTTAACAGGTGTATTCTCAATATTTTAATCTATTTTACTTTCACAATAATTATTAATTTCCTTATTTTTAACATTATATATATTACATGTGGTTATGATGCTACTGTTTATTTAGTACTTACTTTAATTCTTCTATGCTTATTTGATTTTTATTTCCTTTTTAAATACCCATGTAATTTTTTACTCACATAACGGTTGTTTGTATATATTTCATTTATTTAGCTGTCGATTATTAATTGAATATGGATAAAACAATTGATCACATGATTTTAATTTAGTTGGAATTAATACCCATTAATTTGTAATATGTGGCACTTACATGCTGAAATTTGGAGTACCTATACTGTAATGGTGCCTCTGTATGTCTATGAGAATCTACAACAAAATGGAGACTGTTTTTATTATTTTATTTTCGGCATTAACATATGCTTGGTCTCCTATAAAATGGCGTTTTGTCCACAGCCATGTATAAGATTGCTTATCCCCTTTTGTTTAAAAAATAAGCAGTGCCACTGATCAATCGTTTACCCATTTCTTCCTGATGGGCTTTATGAATCCTACACTTGCTTTTTGTTTTGATTGCCGTCCCCGTCACCGGTGTAGTGGCAAGAGGAGTTCCCCCATCAAGATGTGTGTCACTGACGCATCTGCGCATGTCCCAGTTTCAGTCACGATCAATCGATGACTTAACTGCTGCATCCAACCTTAATTAACCCCTTCGTGCCAATGTCTTACTTTTCTTAACTAATTAATTCATAATTATAAGAATTAATAATAATAATGATTAATTTCTTAACTGTGGCAGTTCTGTGCTAAGGATGGTGATTGGCGATCGTCTACTGCTGCCAAAAACTGTGACATGCGCAGATGCGTCAGGACACACATCTTGATGGGGGAACTCATCTTGCCACTACAGCGGCCGCTAGCGGTAGTCTGCGCCCGCGCATAGTGTATTTTTGACATAGCCACGCATGCGCACATCATTCTGAGTGACGTGGCTGGTGACGTGGCTAATGCCGTGTGCCGCACGTGCGCACACCGTTCTGCGTGACGCGGCTGGTGACGTGGTCGATGTTGTGTGCGCGCATGCACTCTGCCCTCCACGAAGCGCGCACGAGTGTGCCCGCGAGTGCGCCCTGCGCATGAGCAATTAAGTATATATGTACCTGGCGTTTTCTGGGGGCTTCACCCCTTTGACAAAGTGCTTCTTGCACGAAACGCGTCAGGGGGGGCCCTCCAGTTTGACGCCTAGCTGTACATGGCCACCAGGAAGGCCATCCTTTTATCACATGAAAGAAAGAAAGAGAGAGAGTGGAAAGAACTTACTGACTGCCCGACCTGCCCACTCTGCCAAGCAGGCCACTCTGAGAGCAGAAGACAGAGTGGAAAGCCAAGTCTGAACCATAGAGCCCGTGGACTGTCCCTATCCATTGGGAAAGACAGATCACGGCAATCTGCCAAACCACATTGATCGGGTGAGGGAGACCCATGCATCCACTAACAAAGTGAACATTGATAGTTTGGCACCTCAGTCAGCTACCTGCACATAGTTGTGAACATTACATACAGTTGCCCTAGTTTGCGGTCTAGTTATACTAGCACCATCATTGGAATACATCTGCAGTACAGTTAACTGACCACAGGATATACAGTTACAGATCAAGATACAGCAGTGCCACCTGAATCAATCAGCCCCTTTCCCTTTCTGCAGAGCAGGATTCTTACCACTGTCTATCCTTTGCCTTTGTCCATAGACATTTATGCCAATCATTGCTATTTACTACATCAAGCTCAATTCATGGTTAGAACTCTTAAAGGGAACCTTACACTAGTTCTTTACCATCCACTCCTTGACGCAACTTCACATCAATTGGGCCCCAACAAGCGTGCAGAAGACATTATAGAGCTCTTAAAGGGGACACTGAGAATTCTCTTTATTTCACATCTAATCCTTATCTGTTATTGATAGTAATTCCTGCACACTGGGGATTCAACAGTCCCCTCAGATTGGAGGCAGTGGATTATTCCTGAAAGCTGGCCTGCTAATAGTCACTGTTGCTTCATTGAATGTCCTTACTTTTGCTCACAATTGCCAATTGTGTTTTTTTTGTTATTCTTGACTCAGTTACTTCCAATTCTAATATCAACTTCAATTTGGTTTATACTACTCTGTGTGTGAATCCATTTTACAGATGTGATTATTTGGGTCACTAGAGCACGGTGGTGTCAGCAGAGGTTGGGCTTTCAATGAGAGGTCCAGATTGACAGGGAACTCAAAAAGTTACTAAGCAACCCGTAAGGGGGTAGTGCCACACTTACAATGTGCTGTTGAACTTGCTATGAAAAATACCTGTTGATCTGCCAGAAATGCACTTAGCTCTTAAAGCTTTTTAAAGCCCAAAAGCAAACATTTATCATATATCAGTTTACCAGTTCTTGGATATAATGGCTGCATTAGTTTTTTAAAGGCTTTCTTTCTCTTATTTTCACCTGGTCACTAAGTCTGGCCAGTAAGTCTGTTGTTTTTCAAAAGAACAAGGTGTTATGTAAATGTGGTAGTTAGAGGGAAGAGACAAACCATTTACCACTGACAGGGGTGTTTACAATGATCAGAATTTATTTATGTAAGTATAAACTTTATCCCAAAAAGAAAAAAGTGTTAGCTGTAACCAGGGCGGACTGACCATTTGGAAACCCGGCACTGCCAGAGGGCCCGGAGTCAGTAGGAGGCCCCATGAGATGCCCCTGGTACCTTTTTCATAGGCTTTTTTGAGTTTTGGCAAGGACACAGGGGCCCCATGATCCCCTATTGCCCGGGGGCCCCATGAGTTGTCAGTCCGCCCCTGGCTGTAACTGTTTATAAGCTGGAATTTGGCTACAATTTGTTAGTGTATCTAAATTGCTAGTACATCCAACACTCCACTCCGCCCACATTAACATTGCTGCTCTCCAAAGGTGCCCCTGTGCTCCTTCATTCAGAGTGGAGACAATCTTTATACATGAGGTATGTTACTGGTCAGATCACCAGGTGAAAACAGAGGGAAGAAGGCCTATGAAAAGAAAACTAATGCAGCCACATCTAATGAATGGTTGGCTGCAATATTTTACATTTTTGGTTTTGGGTTTAATTCTGCTTTAAAGCAGGATTAAACTCAAAAGCAAACATTGATTGTATTGCAGGTTACCAATTCTTAGAAGTAATGGCTACATTTGTTTTCTTTTTTTTAGGCTTTCTTACTTACTTTTTTCATCTGGTGATCCAGCTAGTAAGTCTGTTGTTTTTCCACAGAACACACTCTCCTGAAAAAATTATAAGTTTGTGTGTTGAGATAAACCATTTACCACTGACAGGGGTGATCAGCTTTTATTTATTCATGTAAAACTTTTATCCCAAAAGATAACAATGGTTGCTGCAATTGCTTGTGTAACTGCAGTGTGAGCTGGAGTTTGGCATCAACTTGTTAGTGTATCTAAATCTGCTAGTAAATCTAACATGCCCCTCCCCCCAGACTGACAATGCTGCTGTCCAAAGGCACCCCTGTGCTCCTTCTTTCAGAGTGGGAGCACTCTAATATAAGATGTGTGTTACTGACCAGATCACCAAGAGAAAAGGGCATTAAAAAAAGGAATGCAGCCACCACATCTAATGACTGTTAAGTTGCAATATTTAGCATTTTTTTGTTTTGGGTTTAATACTGCTTTAAGTTTGCGAGCTGACAACACACAACATTTTTGTGGACTGAGGGGTATAAGCCCAGCCCAATGTCTTTTACTTAAAGCGGAACTTCACTCTCTCAAACAACATTGAGTATTTTTAATCCTTATGCTGATAGCATTAGTAAATAGATAGGAAATCATATCATATTTACTTGTTTTAAACTTTTTTTTTTTTACATTTCTTCAGTTACTTCCTGGTTTCCATGTCTAGGCAAATGATGCCATACATCCCAGGAGTCTTCAGGAGGGTAGGGAGGGAGGGTTCTAAGCTCAGCCAATGCCTGATCTAAGGGCAGATGGATTTTAGGATTTTAGTTTTTCAAAACTAATTCTCAGCAAAATAAAGCAAGGAAACATGAATGGATGGGTAACTTTGCTTCAAATATTAACCTCTTCACGCCGGCCGAACACAAATGTGCTGCCTCCCGGGCGTCTGGGCCTAGACGCCGAGCGGCCGCACATTTGCGTTCTATTAAAAAAGAACATATGTGCTGAGAGCGCGTGCCCTGCGCGCTCCCAGCACACATGTCCGGTACCTACGGAATGGTCCCGATCTCCTCTTTCGATCGGGACCTTTCCCGATCATGTGACCAAAAGGCGGGGCGGGGATTAGGATCATGTGACCGCCGTGACAGGCCATCATGGCGGTCACATGATCCTAAACCCCGCCCCGCCTTTTGGCTTCTGAAAACCTTAAGGCGCCGGCACAAAGGGGTTAACAATGAATTAAATCACACTTTGGTTTGTGGTGCTCAGATGCAGTGCAGTTCCACTTTAACTACTCAACCACACCTACTCTCAATTCTGCACAATACAAAGACAAATAATTCTATAGTCCAAGATAAGAGGAGGGTCTCTGAAATAATGCAGCAAGTCTGCAAAGGGCACAGGATGGTTTGAATTTCTGATGGGAACAATAACCAGATATAGCAAATAAGAGAAGTTCCTTGTTAGGGTTTTCATACGCATTAACCTAGATTTTAGAGCAATACACTTTCAATACATATTTCATTTTCTGTTGAAGGATGACAGATTTCACAGACAGATTATACATTTGAATATGGTATATTTGATTTTCTCACCAAATTCTACCTTGTTCTTCTTTGGTAAAGTCAATCACAGAAGTCTTACAATATGGTATTTAACCCCTTTTTAACCAGTTTTCTTACTCTTGTGTCACTGGTAGGAAACACTGCTGCCCATCTGCGTATATGTTTTCATAGTGTATACAAAACCAGAGGCGTAATCTTCACAGTCATAAATGAGTGAAAGAGTAACAGGGATGGAATCAAAGGTTAATTGTGACTATCAGCAGGAATAACGTCCATGTTCAGTCACTTACCAGGGAGGATCCAGCTAAGTCCGACATTCCAAACACGCAGGGGCCTGGACTATCTTGTATGACATGGGGCCCACCTTGGCCCTTATTTTGCTGTGCTTGATGCCAATAGGATGCTCATCTCAAGGTATGTGCACTAAAAAATAGGAAGTAAGTACTGCTTCTGGCTAATCAAATACTCTCTATATCAAAATGTCAGTGTTTTGTTTTCTAACTGTAATGTACAGTATACTGGATAGTAAAAGGAAATATTAGATACAATGTTTAGAAAACAGATATAGAATACTGTTTGGGTACAAACCAATCTAATACATGTAACCAGATTTAGCTGCTTAATTTATGTGGTATGTATTTTTAAAATATGCAAACAAGAAGAAAACATTCCATTACATTTTTTTTTTCAACATTGTCAGATGTTCTGTGTTACCAAAACGTTTAGAAAGCACCAGTAACCAAAAGGCATTTGTGATTGAATCTACTCATACAGCATAAAATACTATATACAGTACTTACTTCTCTGAGATTGTTTGTTTTTATTTATTATTTTCTTATGTTCTCTCCCTGTCTTAGCAGAACTGTCAGACTGAGTATACAGTTATAGGGCCATCCTATCTTCTGCCTTTTCTCAGTAATGATAGTAGACATTCAAAAACCTGTTTAGTAAAGGCATTGTTGGTGTTGGGATTTCATGAAAGACAAATAAGAAAACCATTTTGTGACATTTGTGTTTTCTGTTAGCATGCAGCTTCATTCCTTTTAAGTGTCCTTCCTTTGGAGCTACATCTCCCTGTCACTCTTTCCTCTTTAGCTGTCCCTTTTCTTGTTCTGATACATACATACAATTTATAAAATATGAACTTTTAAGTATAAAAAGTGTTAAACTACACTAAACCCTACAAGCAACCTCTGTATTGCATTTATTAATTTGAAGCCCCGACATAAAGGCTAATAAACACAGGTTGAATATTGGTCAGTATTGGCCAACAAAAACTGGTTGACATTTGGCCAATGTGTACAGCAGCCTGTCCTATGGCTTCTGTAGGACTAGCATGCATGTTAGAAAACTAGGATTCGATCAGCCAATTGCTGCCTTCGCTTATCAGTGTGTGTGTGTGGTGGGGGCAGTCCCCCTGTCAGAACACAATAGCTCAGTGGAGGAAATGGCCACACTAGCATTGCTTAGTTAGCCCACTGGGTTGAAAGAAGAAAAAATTCTAGTATGTATTTAGAATAAAGTAGAAGTAGTTGTTTAAAAAAAAGTAATTGTGTGTATAATCAATCACATTTTACATATTAATCATTGGGGTCCATGTAACTGGAGGCAGGACAGGGGTGTGTCCTTTGCCTGCATACGTAGTACTAAGCACAGTGGCTAAATGGTTAGCACTTCCGCCATCCCAACCATGGCACCACCTGCCTGGAGTTTGCATGTTCTCTCTGTGCCAGTGTGGTTTTCTTCCCTCACTCCAAAGACATGCTGGTAGGTTAATTAGTTCCTGTCTAAATTGGCCCTAGTATGTGTATGAATGTGAGTTAAGGACCTTAGATTGTACGCTCCTTGAGGGTTAGGGACTGATGTGAATGTACAATATATACAGTAAAGAGCCGCGTAAATTGATGGTGCTATATAAGTACCTGTAATAAAAGGAATCCCTTTTTCTCATCTCAGAACAGATGATAAATCAGAAAATTAGAACAGGGAAACACAATAAGGAGTAAGGTATTATTATATGTACAGGCGCACCTCAGTTTACACCTCGGTTAACGTAATTTTTGGTTTACGAATGAAAATCCATTGAAAATAATGTCTCAGTTTACACATTTTTTTTGCAATACGAATGGATTAATTGTTTTTCTATGCATTTACAATTTTTTTTTTAATCATGTCCCTGTATAGTACTATGCCTTTAAAGTGCACTTTATAAAGAGTTTTGAACAGATAAGACTTTTTTTACTTTTTTTCTGACCTCCTGAATGGATTAGATGGTTTTCAATGCATTCCTATGGGAAACCGTGTTTCAGTTTACAAATTTTTTGGAATACGAAAAGTCCCACAGAACACATTAAATTTGTAAACCGAGGTACGCCTGTACATTTTGAGGCTCAGTGCTTTGCTGTGCCATTACAGTAAATATAGGTCTGGCATTACCCTATGTTAAACTACTAGTGTAGATACTAATCTATGAATACCTTTTGTTAAATATGGCTCTGGTCCTTAGGTAGACTTAGACATCTTTCAGCATTTGAGATCCATCTAGATATTTTGAAGTTAAAACGGTAGACGCCCTGTAGACAGCATGATGAATAAAAACGATGGAATAAATGTGTTTTATGACTTTATAGATAAGTAGACTATTGTTTGTATAAGTGTGTCCGCCTGCTGTATCTGATCTTCTGCGTAGCTCCCCATGCTTCTCTGAAAGAAGAGCAGAAAAAACTTCCTAGTTCTTGATGCTGGCCCTATACTATGTATCTTAATTTTGAACCTATTGTGAAGGGTGACACCCACTGAATAGGGTAAGAGGATAGAATGCCAGGAAGCTGACTGTAATAGCGGCAATAGATGGTTCGAATCTTGGCCTGTTCAACAGGGAACGGCCCAGATCCGATCCACATGTGAGCAGGCTGATTGTACCCAAGTCAATACATCAATAGAGATTTGGATCTAACCAGCATGTTGGGTTTTTAGCATGTGATTATTGCTAGCAGCTATAGCCACTAGCAGTTATCACTATATTCTCCCAGCAGGGACAGCTCCCTGCGCCTCCCGCCAGGATAACACAATAGATCTGCTGAAGGAATTCCCCC